ATATATACTTCCCAAATTTTTAATGTAATAAAGCATTGTAATTATCACGTGTATGCAGATGACACGCAACTGTATTATAGTTTTGAAATTAATAAAATTGAAGCAGCTGTTACTATTATCAATAACGACTTGGAGAACTTTGTTAATTTTGCGGCTGATCATTGCTTAAAAATTAATGTTTCTAAATCTAAAATATTATTGTTTGGACTACAACATAATCCAAATTTGAGGGATGAAGTAAAATCGCAACTGGATATACGAGTTAAAGGTACCCAATTAGAGTTCCTTGATCACGCAAGAAACCTGGGCTTAACTATTGATACGTCTTTAAGATTTGAACAACATATAAAGTTGTGTATCTAGCGCGCTTATGCAAATTTGCGATATATTTATAGTATAAAGCATCTCCTCAATAAAAATTCCAAAATGACTTTGTGCAATGCGTTAGTGTTGTCGCATTTCACATTTTGTTCCACAGTTTACGGTCCCTGTCTCACGAATCATATCTCTAAGAGAGTGCAAATTGTACAAAAATCATGTCTCCGTCTTATCTTTGGGATAAACAGAAATATCCCTATTTCACATAAGTTAAATGAGGTTTCTTGGCTTGATATGAATAAAAGACGTTTCCTTCATGCCTCGGTCCTATTTCATAAAGTTGTTACCTTTAAATCGCCCTCCTACCTATATAATAAGATAACGTTTCGTCCCGATGTTCACAACATTAACATCCGTCGTAAAGATCTACTCAATATTCCTAAATATAAATCTACTATGTATGAAAGATCATTTTCTTATGCAATTAGTAATATGTATAACTCTTTACCTTTGGATGTTAAGTGTTGTGAGATTAAAAAGTTTAAATATCAGGTCCGTAAATTGCTTTTAAGTAATAATCTGTGATTGTTAACTTTAGTTTGAAGTTATTGTTTGTTTATATCTTTCGTACATCATTTGTTTCCATGCTCATTGTATATTCAGACTTGCCTTATAAATAAGATTGTGTAAATAACGTTAAATGGTTAAGTGGAAGAGCAGGTAAGGATTTTTCCACACCTGAACTTCGCCAGTTGGACACTATCATATTTTTTTTTGTTTTCTTCTTTGTTTCTTCTTGTTATATTGATATCTTGTGTCCAATAAAGTCCTATTATTATTATTATATATTACGTTAACTCATAAAATAGAAGGGGTAGGGGAAGGAGTTCAGTTTAGGTTAACTGGTTTTCACATAATTAGTCTTATTGGACAGAGCTCTCCTCGTATAATCAGATTTTACATAAATAGAATCTTTTAGTAAACGTGATGAGTGGCAGAGGGCGCGATTTAAAAATAACAAACTTTGCAGGGTTTCTACAATTTTCAAATGGAACGATACAATTAACGATCCTCGAGATCGTTTATAATTTTGTATTGCTGTCCGTCTGTCTGTCCGTCTATTTGTACGTCCGCCTGTCCGTCTGTCTATCCATCCGTTCGTTTATCCGTCCGTCTGTCCATCCGCCCGTCTGTCCTTCCGTCTGTCCGTCCATCTTTTATAACTCTTGTTACAAAGAACATATGATTGTCCGGTTTTCTACGTAAATATTCCTTAAACTTCACGCAACTATACCTACGGAAACAAATATTGCGCATTACAACTTTTGTATTTGCGCAATCCCAATTTTTTTATTTGTTAAGATATTTAATAAGTGAAATTTTGTATGTAGGCACCTCGAATAAAAGTGAAGCTAATGCCGAATCGAAAAACTTGTTTTGCGCATGCGCAGTTGGCAAAGTGTTATGGTTAAATCGCGCCCTCCGCCACTCATCACCTTGAAAATCGATTAACTTAAACCGAAGTTACATCCGATTCCTTAAAGAGATGTTCTTCTTACCTCCTCCCTCATATTTTATGAGCTAGAGCTATATGTGCTGGATCGCAATGATGCAAAATTGACACAAGGGTGCGATGCGTGTATTTTATATGCATGTTTATTGGGTATACTTTAGAAAAAATCATGTTTGTACTTATAAATCGTACGCCCTCTAGCGGCAAATTTAGAAACTTACCTTGGATAGAGGGGGGGAGGGAGTTTACAGGAAAATATTTGAAGTCGTATATTGCCTATATTCTCAGTGCCGGATTTAGTTTATGGACCGCCGGGGGCTAAGTCATACCAATGGTTAATGACTAATGGGAGGGTATTAGTCAATAGTCATACTATACCGCCAGTAGGTAGGGAAAAAAAGCTGAATCTTGGGGCTCTTTTCATTTAATTTTCGTTATTTTTCTAACTTTTATCGTTTCCAAAATGCACCTCTTTTTTTCCGCTCATTTTTTAGAAATTTCACGAAAACACTCCAGTAATAAATGAGTAAAATTTTCTGCGCTAACGCGTAATGACGTAACAGGATTGACGACACGGTGTATCAGAGACGGACACGCTGGCGGCTGGCGCTGAAACAAAACAAAACTGAAGTTTAAATAAACCCATAAAGAGCATTTAAAAAAGCGACAGAGCACCTCGGTGTGACCATACTGGGTCATTGGATTTGACCCATTTTCAATATACTGTTACATGTGGCATATAAGTCTACTGTGCAAAGTTTCAACCGAATAGGTTTAAGCGTTTGGCAGGGACAGAGAAGCGTGATCCCACGGTTTCATTGGATTTTATGCGAACTGAAAACGTCTGTACCTAGGGAGTGCCACCCATACGATACGATATGATATGATACTACATGTGGCATATACGGGGTGTCAATTTTAAAACTTTCATTCGGCCATATCTTCCAAACTAAAAAAGATATTGAAAATCGCGCAAAACCGTTTCGGGTGTATCGAGGGGGAACCAGAATGACGTTATGAGTGACAACCCCCCAGTACCCCTTAACCCCCCAGCCCCCCTCTTCAAAAATCCTAAATGGCAACCCCATACTTCTGACACATCGTTGGAAAGCTACTGAAAAATGCTTTCCAGTGGTACCCATAATGATATTCATTATGACAATTTAACAAAAAAAACTAAATGTTGACATTGAGGGATTTATGGCAAATTGGCCAAGAACTGCAACCTGAGCTGCTTCATTAAGCAATCTTGGTTGCTTTCTTTTTTTATTGATAACAGATCCCGTTTCTTCGAATTTAGCGACCAAATCTTGAACATAGGCAAGGTTTAATTTTTATTTATTTTTTGTTAATTATTATTTGTTTGTTAAATTGTCTTAATGAATCACTCTATGGGCAGCACTGGAAAGCATTTTTCAGTAGCTTTCCAACGATGTGTCACAAGTATGGGGTTGCCATTTAGGGTTTTTGAAGAGGGAGTTTGGAAAATATGGCCGACTGAAAGTTTTAAAATTGACACCCTGTAGATCAACTGTTCAAAGTTTGAACGAAATCGTTCTAAGCGTTTGACAGTTATCGTGTTCATGGACGGACAGACGGACACCATCGACTCCCCTATAAAGCTTAACAATTGTTTGTAGTAAGCGTTTAACAAGTAAATGTGCCCGACAATATAGTCAATGGAAAATTAGAGGTAAATAACGGATGATCAGGTAATAAAGCGTTATCCTTTGTCGTTTGTAAGCAAAGTGCAGATTTCCCGAAAACAGGAAATGTGTTTTTGCTAGTGTTTGTGCGACCTGCTACCGCCGGCAGCCCGAGCCCGGCATCGATCTTATAGGTGAAGAGCTGAAGTTTTATTATCATGCATTCAGAAACTGAACCCCATAAATTAAATATCTACATTTACAATTAAAAGGTAAAACCATTGAATAACGAACACTCAACGGTAAAACGTGATGGCGACGACGTACCGCCTCTCAAAATTTACCGCCGGGGGCTAATAGTAAAATTGTGCATCCCTGAATGTTTTGAAAGATCGCATATACTAAACACGAAGTCGGTGTTTGGCACAATGATAATATCCTAGGGCCCAGTTTTCAATTAATGCGCCACTGATTTTTATCTCTCATTTACTTAAAAGTTTCTCAACTAGAAAACCAAACACCTTCGCTTTATTTGGACTTTATGGAGCACAAAAGATTAATTTTTCCTTTTTTTAGCGTAACTATGGAAACACGAGTAGATTACAGAATTCATTAAAACTGACATTTCAGGAATCTATGGCACCTGTGTAAAAGGATATTTTAAAAGAGATATAGTGAAATGAGGAAAGATGATTTTCTGTAGCAACAAGTAATCCTATTATACGTGAACTTGATTGATTAAATTGATATGCTCAGCTTCTTACAAATGACGAATAAAAGAGAAACGAAGGAAACACTTTTTGATCACCAATTCAGTATGAACATTTTTGCTACCTTAGTGACGCACAATTAAAAGAGCTTTTCCTTTCAAATTTCTCGTTTAATAAAAATTGTGCACCATAAGACGTTGACGTATAAGACATAACTGAAATTAAATGGCATTCAAACTAAACTAACAAAGTTGACGTCATCTGTAGCCATTTTTCAAAGTAACTAGCTCAAGTTGAAATGACAAATGTTTGTGATGTATCCTGCCACACTACGCCAATTGCAGCGTTAGATTCTTTTACTTAATCATGTCACTGTTGCGATCTCAAAATCACATATGGGCTGTCATTGAAGAATTACAAAGTTTATGAAATTATATGCACGTGTAAAATACATACCGAAGTAAATGCAAATTTGTTTATTATATTGTTTGTTATTTTGCTCTTATGATGACCAGCTTACTATCCGATACCCCATCATATCAATAAATCAAGTAAACTCCAAAGTAATATCGGAGAATTCAAGAAGAAATACAATTTGTTCAAGATTCAGTGTTTGTATTGAAGTTGCATGGTAACGGGATTAATCAATTGAAACCCCTGTACTTTGGAAAGCACTTGCATTGAGGTATAGAAAATTAACATTATTTATAAACTAATAGATTGATATTCAATCATTAAACCTTAATTTCATTTGCGTTGTAAGTGCTCTCAACTCAGTTAAATTCTTAGATAATGGAAGCGCTAAGAAGGAATTCCAACATGCAAACCACGCGATTAACTCCTGTTCCGTGCGAAATGCTGCTGCGCCTATTCCCCTTCGGTATACTAATTAATTCATCTATGAAAGTTGTTGGTGTTGGAGACAAACTCGCACAAGTATCCGATAATAGCGAAAACATTTTGGGCGACGACGTTACTTCGCATTTTCGCATACGACGACCAAAGGCTATATCGTTCACTTGGAAGAATGTAAGTATTTCTGCAATATAATATTTCTGATAACTCGTTTTGCTTCAGCTTTACTACTTGCGATCGGTTCTATTTTCTTTGGAATTTCTGTGCGGCGCTGGGTTAGCAAGTCAAGTGGAATCACCGAATCACGATAATCGTGGAAATGAGCGAGCGGCGGAGTTTAACTATGCGATTAAACTACATGAATTACGAAGAGATAGTAATCAAGGGATGAAGAATATTCTACTTAAGGGGCAAATGAAGTATATAAACGATATTAACATCATAATATTCCTTTGCAGTCCGATGTAAGTATCACTGAGGAATTTACTTACTAAATCTGTCGCATGCTTTTCACATGTCTAGCTTCACGTGAATTTAATATGAAAACGCCCATTTAAACTAGATGAGAAAGACTGAGAGTCCTTTTACATTAAAACTCTTTAAAACTCTATAAAAGTTTTGTGTGCACTATAATTCACATACCTACACTTTTTTGTTGTCTTTTCACTGAAAGTTTTCCTAGAACCGTGGATGATTTACAAATTAGATACGTGCTTAAAAGGATTAACTGAAGTGAAACAATTAGTGTGTGGGTACGTGTAGCACATACAGAGTTAGCTGATACGTTTTAAGATTTAACTAACTTATACCAAAGAACTGGTTACTCTTTGCTTATACGTATACGAAAAATAGAAGATTGTTTATGACATTCCCAGTGTAATTTTCTCTATTATAATCTTCCACCCAGAAGCGTTTTGCCAATGTATTGTACAACACAGAGCGGTCCATTTTCGGCAATGCGCTTTGGCGATGGTATACGCAATAGGAGCCTGGCAATCCATAGTTCGATACAGATCACATTATAATGACGTTGCTCTGAAACGAACAGTATTTTAATTGTAATGAATGCGAATGTGTGTCCGAACTACGTTTCGTTGTGGGCGCTAACCATCTCAAATAAAGAAGAGCTTGATTTTTAATCGGATAATTTTATTTTTACACGAAAGTTTTGTTGCAACGGATAAAACTAGAGATCAAAAGTATGATAAAACCGCGATTTTATCATGTGCTTTTGATCGAAAGTTTTTTCAGGAAGCAAAAAAATTTAAGTGAATTAAAAATAAAATTATCCTTATTTAAAGCAAGATCGAGTTTATTTTAGAGAAATTAATAAAAGACAGTAAATTTCACAACCACTATATATATTTTACGCATTCCAATGCGCATTTTTGTCGCTGATAAAAACTACCTAGCTTTTAGTCAGATAAAAAGTCATCTGATTGGTTAGAATTTGAAACAATTACCAAGCTGATTGGAGTGTATTAATCGTTCATAATACATAATGTAAAACTCATGTAGGCATTTAATCAAAAATATAGTGAACTCACGACATTTTTTATTTTTTGGATTTTATTGTTGATATACAGAGTAAATTTGTAACTTGCTTGATTTATTCCAGTTTTATTTTGATTTCAGTAAATCAAATATTTTTTTTTTCAAAAAAATGCCCAGACACTACAATATTTAATTTTAATTTGTTTTATTTTTATTTATTCCAAGCTACAAATTTACTCTTTATAAAAATAAAATCTAATACAATTTGGCGTTCGGTTCATTTTTTGAAATATTTAAACTATAATGGTATGTTTGCGTTTAACGCACTCCTTATTGGAAGATCTTTCGGCTTGTACTCTAGCACTGGATGGTAAACCTCTAGACGAGTCTCTAGATATATGGCGGGATAATAGGAAAACAAAATATTTCCAAACGTTTTCGTTCAATTTCTTATGGAAATATTTATAGGATTTGTTAAAAAAATCGTCTGGTCTAGTCAAGTTAGCTCCAAAAGTAGTCTAAACTGCATGCGGCCATTTCACTCAACGAGACCAAGTGTATTCTATGTAAAAAAAATCCGCTGAATCCAAAAATCATAGTTCTCCTGACCGGAAACTGCCGGAACATATTCTCATAAACAAAAAACAAAGAAAAAACGGGAAAATGTCGGTTTTTTCGTATTTGACTTCAATTATCTTTTTAACTATTGCTCTAAGCGAAAAAATGGAGAGAAATGAATTTGTTTAGAATCGCATTTTGCATAAGGTATACAGTTGATCAGGAACGTCCATGTTCAAATGTTATTGTGTTTTACGGAAAAATATAAAAAAAGGAATCCCGAAACATATGCCTCAAGTGACTACTTATTGTAGCGGGTCTCCTAAACAGCGGGACGCCCGCCGTCATCGAATTGCCACTAAACGTTAGTCATAGGCGCGACGATCACGGAATGCGGATGCGAAAGATTTGAAACTGTGAACTCCGGTTGTAACGACCTTTTGAACTCAGTCGTGTGCTTTTCTGCTTTATCTGTAACAGATAAAAGCACAAACAAACAAACCAGAGGGATAGTGAATATCTGAATAACGTTGCACATAAATATGCGGTGTATATAAAAGCATAAGCGTGACGTTAACTTTAAGAAGACTACTTTATGATGCACACTAAATTTCTATACAACATCAGTGATCTATTAATTCAATAAATTAACGTGAACAAATTCTTCGGATTGACCCAAGTAACGCAAATAAAAATCGTAGATATCGGTTTCGGTATAAATTTCGGTAATTTTAGAAACTAATTTGCAACGACAACTAATATCTTCGTATATCACTCTCTTAGCTGACAACGCTACAATACTACTCTTCTTTGTTCTATCCTCTATTCTTACACAACAATAATTCCAATTCAAACAACACCTAAAAGTTATTCTTTGTCTTTATTTTATTGGGTTAAGCACTTAAATAAATTCCCCTTTAGAACACACGCAAGAAACACAAAACCCCGTAATCGCACCCCATACTGGTTGGGTGCCAAAAGTACAGGATCCTAAAATATCACGCAGAACTTCATGGTTACTACTTAAAAAATAAATGAGACTGTCGCCCCACTATTCGTTACTGAAAATGACTTCAAAAGGCCAAACTAAACTTACAAACAAAAATTTTATTGAATTCATTTTCACACACTCCCCTTGCCCAAATTACACAAGACTCTAAATTTACAAGCTTCGCTAACACGTGACAAATACCTTAAATCTAAAATAAACCCTATTTTTCCACAAGCCAACTTAAATTAAATCTAACCGAAACAAATTTATTCTTAATCAAACAGTACAGAGGACAATAAACAAAAAAAAAGGAGGAATGAACAAAGAAGATCTTTCCTCTTTTTCTTGCTTTTTGCGCTTCATAAACAAGCAACCCACTTCCACTTTTCCTTTTTAAAAACGCCGAATATTTCTTAAATCCACTATTTTTGTCGAACTATTAAACAGTTGTCTTATCGCACAAACCAACCGTTACCATAATGTCGTATGTAAGCCAATTTTTATACAGATAATGCCCTAAGCAAAGTAATAACTAACAATCAGAAGAATCTACATAAAGAACACTTCTGCAAACTTCAACAATGTCTTATCAGTTTAAATAAAAGCAATAATTTTGCATTTTTATCTAATAACGGCTTAAATTTATTTTATTTAACTGCAGTAAGGTTAAGTCTGCCTGAATTCAGCCCTGTGATGTATCACTAACGTTAAATTTAACGTGCAGGTTACCTGTTAAAAGTGTCCTGTCTAATGTCTAAATAACGCAAAATAACGTTTTTTGGCAGATAACTTGCACTTTACGTTACGTCACAGGGCTGATTATCTAATTTCAATAAACTTTTAATAAATTAAAATGAAATTAGATACTCGTGTTTTGCTAACAAGTAATGAAAGATCTACGCATACGTGTGAACGACGATAGCGCATCTTACCCATACGGTCCTCAGCCTCACGTCTTTCTGCTGGTTCGTATTAAATACGCATTCACGCACATGTTGAATCAAAATTTCACGTTGCAAAATCTTGGCAGAAACGATACTTTACAACTCTCCATTTCCACTCCTTCCGCCTCCACCACCTCGTCCACTACCAAAAAAGTATGATTAGGCATCCTCTTCGTAAATATCTATCAAATGAGACGTTGACCAAACCTTTTTACGATGTTTCCATATACAATGCCTAACCGGGCGAACAGATGCTTTTATGACAAATGAAGAGGCAGATCCTTGGCGACAGGTACTGTTACGGTTTGTAGCAGTCATTTTGAAGGCTTTTTCTGCAGCCATCATTATGTTTCTCGGGTTAGATTAGAGTTTCTTGGAACCATTGAAAGAAGAGGACAGTTATTCGATGCTACGAATTGCAACACAAAGAAGGAAGCGAACTAAATCAAATTTGAACTACAAACTCCTGCGATGTAGCCATAAGGGAATTTCTTATCTAAATCTACATTTTAAGTAGAAGCATTAATTGCGAGTTAAAGATTTCGTTTGAACATGTAATTGTATCTATTATTCAAGCTTCTTCGTGCAATTTTGTAGTAATTACCTTACGAGGGAAACTCGGGAGATCTTATCTATTTTTTGTAATTTTCTGTTTTTCCTAACATACTTGAATAATTTAAGCACTTCGCGTACTGGTTCGTATACTGTATTCTGATTTTATTTTTTTATTGTCTTTTTACCACACGCACGTTAGTAAGAGAAGTATTGTAAAAAATGACCCCCACTTTGTTGACGAAAATACACGTTATGAAGCACCAGGAATCCGAATAACTAAATCTCGATTATGTCGGTCTGTCGGTCCGTTTGTTTATTTATTTTATTTATTTATTTATTATCTCTCTCTTGTTCTGGGCCCTCAACATAAGTTGAAGTTACCTTTTTCAAGAATTCGGTGGTAACGTGAACAAAACCTCAACCTCATCAGTAACTGTTATAGTTACTTTACAGTTTCGATTTGTATATTTGGTCGATTATTTAAAAAAATTATATAAACAAACTTCAAAGTAATCATAAAATTCCTAAAGGAGCCGACCTTTGATTAGCATTTAGGGGTGTGTGAGTAGTTTACATAGGAGAATGTACCAAGAATTTATTATGTAGGTATAAAAAATGAAGGTTTAGATAAGGACCAAGTCTAGCATTGATACGTGATCACGAGATAGGATTTGAACCAGTTTACGTGCTAATTAAGTAATTACGCGAGTTTGCTGTTATGTGTCTTTAATTCTTTCGGGGGAAAAAAAAACAACTAAAGACAAGCACACCTGTTTGAGTACAGAATAGGACTAATTACGCGGCTAATTGTTATACAGGGTGGTGCACGGTAAGTAGGAACATAGGAATTTAACAGGGGAAATTAGTTTTTTGCAATATCCTGCCCTCCTGTACATTTTACAGAAAAAACAGTAGAGTTTAA